CCCCAAAACCCCAAAACCCCAAAACCCCAAAACCCCATCAAATGAAATAGAGAAGATCAAAAAATTAAAGTTAAAATTAATGAATATTCGATGATTATGAGATGATGTGTTTATCAAATCAAGTGAGTTCTAGCAGTAATGAATAAATATTAAAACTACAGTTATCACATTTAATTGCTCTTCAATTTACTTAAAGGTATACTGGCTTGAGAGTATAAAACTAGAGCTGAGTATAAAGCCATAATCACCACACCCAATATTGAGAACACAACACCAGCAATAAACTTTCTTTAAGAATATCCATTATGAAACTTAGCATAAAAATAACCTGGAAGAATATAGAGAGAGAGCGGTACACAGGTAGCCCCAAGAAAGCTCACTGAATTCATAAAAACTTGGAACTATGTTAAAGCAAGAATAAGTACTACTAAGTATAGTATCCAGAAGGTAGTCTCCATGCTCTTTTTAGGCATTGTCATATGAGGTAGTCTGTATTAAATGTATGTGACGTTTCTATCTTAATCAAAATTCTTCGTCACAGTGTATTCCTTATCCTTCTCTCGGGATTTCTTGAACTCATCAATCATATTACTCATCGAACTGCGTTGTATCTCATCCACAAGGATAAAAGCTTATTCCTTTGTGATATAGAAGATAAAAATCAAATGACAGAAAAGCTGAATTATTGCGAATATCTAAGTAAAGAACTCAAAGATTAATCCTGAATTGAAAATCAAATCATAAGTGTAGATAACAAAATTTTCCATGTTGTGTTTTTCAAAAAAGAATATTGTGATTAAGAATAGCAAGAAATAGACTAAGAATATGGTTAGCATAGTAATCAAGCCTACTTTTGTACCCTCGATTCCGTTATTATCAGGTCTTCCCAACTATTTATGCACTTAGAGCAAATAAATCTGAAATCCAAAAGCATAGCACAGCGAGGGTACAACATTTGCCCAAGCAACACCCATCTCACTTGTAGGTAATTTCATTAGATCTCTTTGTTTATAATCAATTTGACAAAAATCTCCTTAAACATCTCCTTTGGTAAGATTAAAAGCGAGATTGATAACTAAGCAAATAAAGACCAGACATATTGTAATCAGAATTGGGTAGCAGAGATACTTGAATCTTTGGTAATTCAGTACTCTGCAGAGCGGCAGTGCTGCTAGGGCATAGGCTAAAATTAAGAAGTACTAAGTATATTCCCATAGCTCATCATTAGTATCTCTGATATAGTCTTCACCCTTCACTGATTTGATAATCAAGTTCAAGAATTCTATAGTAAACTATCCTAGCAACTCTATATCAACAGATATTAAGTTTAAATTAGTTAATACATAGATAGGTTGCACAGTTTACTCCAAAGAACAGCAAGAATAGAATACTAATTCCAACAATATCTGCTTTACTTTTAGACAAGTAGTAAGCTACCTCTTGATAAGTTCTATATATACCAGTTATCTATTTAATTCTACCCTAATTTTATTTATGCTTTAATGTCCATCAACATAAACACTGCAATAATTCCTGTAACCAAATTGAATAGCAGCAATAAGAAAGCTAAAAATTTTCATGAAATATCATAATTTACAAACAAAACTGTGTGTTACAAAAAATGAAAGGGGAAGGAATAAATAGCCAACTCCGAAAGAGATGGAAAGTAAGATTTAAATGGCTTCTTATCTAGTGATCTTTTCCCCTGACTCTATGTATTCCACCTCTAAAAAGCATTATAAAATAAGAAAGTACTCTTAATTAGTGATTTAGTAGAGTGATGGGGGTTTATGTGACTATCACTGTGAGGTCTTGTTGAATCGTTTAATGACATTTTTATAATAATTTGAACTCCTCCAAATATCTCTTAATTGCATGTTACTGGGGTTTTGGGGTTTTGGGGTTTTGGCG